CCTGGGTCTATGATGTTTATCCCTATCGCATGCTGGAAATCTATGTATGTCATGTATGTAACAGGCTATTAAAGCCACATTAAATACTTCATAGATTTTAATAAGTCATTAACAAGTAATTTATCAAATGTTTCAGACATGGAGCAGCATGTTAAATGTTAATAAGTCACAAATAAAGAGGATTAATACATGCAGTCTGCAGTTTTTAATATTAGTAACTTATTAATAAAAGGTTGCAATAAAAAAAACTACTGTACAATTAATTGCAGGTTAATTAGATAAAGATGAAAATTTGGTTAACAAGCTATTGATAAAAGGCTTCATTTATAAAATATTTAGTTATATGTAATACTGGAAGTGTTTAAACCACAAAGTCTTCAATTACAGGAAATGTAATACATGCAGTCTGCAATTATTAATGTTACTGACTTACTGATAAAGATTTAATTATCAACAAGTCATTCAGCTGACAGCCAGATATGTCATTATTATTATTTATTTATTTTTTAAAAACAACAACAACAACAACATCAACATGTTTGTAGATTTATAAAGGTCAACGCATGTTGCTGGAATTTATGCACAAAAACAAGTCTTTAGTTCAGAACTTATAAATTCATTTATAGATGAGATTAGTTTTAATATAAAGTTTGAAAATAAAGTTTATTGCTATTAATGCCAATAAGTTATTACTGTATGAAAATCTGAAGTTGTAACTGTTTATATCTCGTTGATGGGGTAGGTTAATTTCCAAGAATTGAATTATAAATGCAAATGAGAAATTAATAAGGGGTTTAATGTCTCAGCTTTCCAGTTTTAAAAAAGGTTATTAGAATTTGCTGAATGCAAAACCAGCAGCTGTTATTAAGACATGAATAAGATGTTTTCAATTTTTTTAAAATAATAAAAATTGCAATAATAAGAATATTGAGACAAGTGGTATGATACAACACGTTACACACTCAACGAGTCATTAAAAACAGATATAAAAGTTAATAAGTCATTAATATGGGCTCATAATAACCCGTTCTGAGGATATATATAAATTAGACAGAAGTTTGAGCTTTTAAATGATGAACGCTATCGTTAGAAGAAGGTTGGACATAACAACACTTTATGTTACTACATTATTAAAATACTTTTAGTTAAAAAATCTGCAGGTATACACCTTAATACGTTTTTTAAAGGAGTAAAGTAACAACAATGTCATTAGTAAGGAGCATTAACCACAATACCTGCAGTTATAAGTGTTTATGTGTCATTAATAAAGGTGTTAAACCACAAAGAATGTGATTATAAATGGAAATATGCAAACACTTAGGGGTTTATTACATCAGGTATCCAGTTATAAACATAAAAAGGTTATTAAGATTCATTGAAAGCAAACACATGCAGTCATGGATGTGAATAAGTCATTGTTATGGTGTTTTGATAACCTGCTCAGATCACCAAGTGACCAAATCTGCACTTATTGATGTTTCAAAGTAACAGTACTAAGTAATAAGTCATTAAAAAAGGAGGTAAATCACTAAAAAAAAGTAATTTTTTAAATGTATTTGTGATTATATAAGTTAATAAGGAGTATTGACTACAGCACCTGGAGTTATAAGGGTTTCTTTACTCATTAATAAATGTGTTTAACTGCCAAAAACTATAGATGGAAATGTGCAAATAATAAAGGATTTGATGAATCAGGTCTGGAGATATAAATGTTAATGAGTTATTATTAAATGGGTTCTGATGGTAGGTCTACAGTTATACACGCTAACAAGTTGTTACTAAATGGATGTTGTGTCCGTACCATCTGCAGGGAGTTTCTAAAAAATATCCACTCAGTTCTTATAACCAGCCCGAAGAAGCTTCTACAGCCCTAACACCCAAACGTTATTATTTATGGTTTATAATAAATCTATAAGAGTAACTTAATGATTTATTAACTATTAGCTAGAAAGCCACCAACTCTAAACATTTTTGTAAAATATGCCCACAGAGGTTTGAGTTTGGGCAAATGTTTTACAGCTGCAGTGACCTCATGGCTGTCTTTCTCTAATAAGAAGTAAGACTTAAATATTGTGAGCATTTATAACAGTGATATGACTGAATGCACTTCACCGTCAGAGGCTACAGATTCCTCTTTGAGAAACTCAGACACTCAAATCAGAGTAAATACCAAAAGATTACAAAAAGTCCTCCATTAGAAGTTTGAACTCACCACTAGAAATCCTGCAAGGTCATCAGCTGGCATTAAAGCATCTTAAAATGTGTAACTACATGACACACAGCTGGCTTAGGGCAGTGTTTCCTAATTGAAGGTTATTGTGTGACCTCAGAGGGGTCATAAGATAAGCATGAGAGGCCATGGGGTTATTAACGGCAGAAAAAGAAAGAAAAAGAAGCTTTTTTTTCTTATTTTGCTGTAAAATGTAAAATAATTTAACAGGTTTGAGCTTTAAAAAGTTATTTAAACTAAAAACAAAGGAGAAGTTTCACATTAAGAAAGTAATTTTTAAAACACCTTATAAAACTTTATAAAATGTTTGGGATCTTAAATACAGATAAAAATGGTGCAGTAAAAAAGGCCTCAATACCTTTGGAATAACATGGAATACAGATTAGAGCATAACACAAAGTAGAAATACTCTAGTACAAAGTACATGAAGTCAGTCTGATTATTGCCTCTCCAGCTAACGTAAAGAAAAATGAACCCAACCTTTTATTATTATTATTATTATTTTTAAATCAAAAAGCAGCTTCACTCCCAGAGCGCGCAGGATTAAATGTGTTTCCCTCCACTCGACCTGATCAAACCGAAAGAAATAACAGATCAACAAAGCTCGTCTTTTTCTCTGTTCTTCTCTGTAACTTACATGCCCCCGATGATAAGAGCTCGAGCTGGAGGCAAAAACCCCAGAAAGAAACCTCATCCATCATCAGCCTGCTCGGTCTGAGGCGCCCTCTGCTGGCACAGCCGCCTCATTACAGAGACCTCACGGACACAAACAAACAAACCGCAGCAGCTGTGAAGTCACACACAGCCTTCCAGATGTTGAGCACCCATACAAACAAAAATGTTCAAGGTGGTTTCATGCATTTTATGATTTTGATTAAAGTCGTTCACAGTGACTGGCTGATTTTAACATTTATGTGCAAATAAATACAAACTCCTTATGTTTACGCTCTCTATTATTAGGTATACAACATTATATGTATATATATATTTCTATTCGCTGATTTTGAAACTAAGACTTCAATATTTGTGCTAAATTCTAAATTCTGTAAATGTATACAGGAGATATATAACTCAGCGTGCATCGCCACATTTTTTAAACTCAGTTTTCTCGCAAACAAAAGCGCAAAGTGGAGCTGAATTCTGTTAATTTTACGCAGCTGCTTTGGAGTGATTGAAACCCTGATTATAAACTGTGAAAAATATGAGAAATATAAGCATTGAACCCTCTTCTCTCCTGTGCAAAAGCACCGTGTTATTGCGCTCCTGAGCCTCGGTGGTGACAGTGCAAAGTCTTCCTCCTGACGCATCTGCGTGCTGCAGTCTCTACCGTCTCCTGACCCAGCGATGATCCCCGCCGCCATGAATTATGCATGAGATCCGGGTACAGATTACCCCTATCAATATGCAATACTCATTACGCTGGCTAAATTGCCACTTAATAGTTATGAATATGTGGAAAATGTCTGGGACCCATATAGCCCACCACTACTTTTTTACTCTTTTTTTTTCTTAAACCTGAAATTAGTTTGGAAATACTTTTGGAAATATTGCAGAAGTCTCTTGCAGTCTTTTGCTTTCCTGCACATAATATCATTATGTTTTATTAGTGGCCGCTAGACAATGCACTCCAGGACCCACATAGCCTGGCTTTTCTTTATGTAAAGTCAGTGAAGCCTGTGTCCAGCTCAGAGTTGTCCGAGACTTCACCTTTGGCCGCTCGGTGACTTGACAGATTCGGATAAATCACTCCAGGACCTCGCTCAAGTTCGTTTTTGCATGGCAGCTCTATAAAGCTTCTCATTAGCCTTCAAGAGATTTTATTTTCCCTCCTAAAAAATCAGCTTGTGTTTGAAAAAGAAACTTTGGATTACTTTCTTTTAAGTATGAAAATCGGCCAGTATGTGTCCACGCTGAGCAGAAACAGGGGCCTCTAAATGAGGATGTTCAAACAGCAAAACGTTTAGGATTTTCATGATAAAAGTGACAAATAATGTGGCTCTGTGGCTCAAAATCAGAACTAAAATTTGCGCAATTAAATCTTAATATTTAGACTGTTTTTAAAATAACATTTTAGCAGCCACACTCTTTTAATGCGTAACAGTTATTGGAAGTTTTCGCGCAGCAGCTTAAACTAACTAAACATGAGTGGACACCACTTCCTTCCCCAGTCCAGCCTTTGCAGTCCCATCCACGCAGTTAAGCCGTCACTTTCATTCAAGGTTGTGAATTATATAGTACATTGTCTACTCCCCAAAACCATAAAACCAACTTTATGGACCTCACGTGACTTTTCACAGTCTGTAAGTAATATAGGCCTATACAATCTTTGGTAAGGGGGATTTTTACCAACTTCAGCCTTGCCTATATACCTGTAAAGCCAAAGCTTTACCCCCTCTTTTTTTTTAAAGGTGGATTTTATCAGCAACATATTTTCCCACATGGCAAACATCTCGCTGCAGAGAGGTAAGTGTTTAAAAAGTCTTATTTTTCACTGTGTCTGCGCCAAAAACAATGCGTCAAAAATTGACCCGAAATCTTGTTTGTGTGTGGGACATTTTAACAAATACTTCAGGTTAATCATTAATAAGTTAAATGCGGGTGAAAAGCAGCCACACACACACTCACATACACACGCACGCACACAGAAAAAGTTGCGCATCTCCACTTAAATATGGCCTGCCTTTTTTTAAAAAAGAAAAACCTAATCTGTTTTTATTCTAATCGATGAGACAGTCGAGACACGTTCAAAGCAATTGAGAGAAACTTTATTTTCAAGCGCTATGAGTTCACTTACAAATACAAAAAGCTTATTGGAGAAAAAAGCTTACATCACTGCCTATCCACAGAATAACCCTTTGCACTAAAAATTTATCACATTGACAGGTTGAATACATTTGCATTGCTCATAATTAGTCCTAAACAATGGTAATAATAATAATAATTATAATAATAATAATAATAATAATAATAACAGATGCACAAAATATCCTAGAGCTACACATTGGCTTGAAAGTTTATGGATCTTGGCCACAAGTTAACCATCAAAAATAGCAGTAAAAGTTACACTAAAGCGCTTTGAATGGCCCCCGGAATACATTACATTCAATGAAGAGCAGCATGTGGTTTGGAAACTTCTTCTTTTCTTTTCCTTTTTTTAAACGTGTGTTTTGTTTTGTTTTTACTGTACAATGAATTTACTCCTGTTAGACCGCGGAGAAGTTACAATAAAGAGCTCAAGTTGAAACACCTTCAAGAGAAAGACAGAAAGAGACAGAAAGAGAGAGGAGAGATGGACAGATAACTCCCCAGCCCTGCGATATTTACATCTTATTTTCCACATCTAAGCTACAACAACAGTGAACTAAAAATGGCATTTTAAGACCACAGAATACTTCTTTTTCTATCACAATGGCATGCTGGAAGGTGCTGCGCTTTAAATAGCTTTACAGTACTCATGGGTTCTTTTTTTTTTTAACTTATTATGTTTTTCTTTTTTTCTTTCTTTCTGTGTTTTTTTTTTAACTCCACCAAAAAGTTATTCAGTTGTGGAAGGCGCTCCCTCCCGTTACGAGGCTCATGCTTTTCAGTTTATTGTCCTTCTTCCACTTCATCCTGCGGTTCTGAAACCAGATTTTGATCTGTCTTTCGGAAAGACACAGGGCGTGGGCTATCTCTATCCTCCGCCGTCTGGTTAGGTACCTATTGAAGTGAAACTCTTTCTCCAGCTCTAGCGTCTGGTAGCGGGTGTACGCAGTTCGGGCCCTTTTCCCATCAGGTCCAGTCATATCTACAATTTTACAGAAAATCCAGAAAATTAGCAACCGCACTGCACACCAACAACTACACTTTCTTTTCTGTCTTTTCTCCCTTTTTTTTAATGTGGGGGGGCTTTTCGCTGTGATTTAATGGACGGAGAGGGGGGGTCACACAGCATGAAATGGGTGGAAGCATGCAACCAACACGACACATAACACAACACAACAATCAGCCTTCCCTCTGCAGCTCTGGGCCAGCACAGCTCACTACACCCCACACCTCCTCCGGGCTCCAGCGGCATTTAAAGCAAACAACCCCACAAAGATTTTTTTTTTTCTCTTACTGATTCTGCCTCTAAATTCTTCCTTCCACGCCAGCCTGCTCACTCATGCAACACCTGACAGATTTATGGCACACCGTCAGCGTGACAGCCTTCAAAACTAAATATTAAGAGAGGTGGAAATCTACCATGGCTTATGTGCAGCTTCCGCATCCACGGGAATATTTGTGGCGTTTGGCAGTCGTTTGCTGTGGGAGTGGAGGAGGTGGCGTTGGGCTCCTGGTGCTGCTGCTGCTGCTGCTGCTGCGCCCGCGGTGCCGTGCCGGAGGAGCCTCCGCCGCCTCCGCCGCCGCTGCTATGCGCGCCCTCCTCGCTCTCGGATGCGACCGTGGCGTCCTCTATCTCCGTGAAATGAGCGCTGTTGCTTTTGTTGAGGCTGCTGCCGCCCGAGGTCGCGCTCCGGTCAGAGGGAGGAGAGGGGCTTTTTAGTTCCAGCTGCTCCCGGCTGGCTGTGGCGCACGACGGCGGCGGCGGCTGCACCGGGTCTGGAGACGACAGCGAGCAGTTGGGCGTCTGTCTGTAGCGGGCGTCCGCCCCAAATCCCCGGGCATCCTCCCTCACAGCCCCGAAGTGGCCGCCGGTGTTGGTGCGGTTCACGGTTAGGTCCATGCCATTGTAGTTGTAGCCGAAAGACCCGGAGTGCATGGTGCCAGGGTCTCTGAAGGAGCCGCTCACAGCGCCGTTAGTCCCATAATTTAGTAACTGATAGTCGGAGCCATTTGGATAGCGCCCTGAGAACGAGTTTACAAAGTAAGAGCTCATTTGCTTGGATTTTTAAAGCCTCGATTTGTAGATCTTTGTCGCTATAATCCTGTGTGCTTGCACGATTTATGGATGCAATCATGAATTATAAGCAATGAAGCCCTACTGTACTTTGCCAGGTATGCGGCCAAATATGGGAGAGCGTTCGGGAATCACGTGCCTTTGTTGACCAGTCGTAAATCCTCACTGATGACTTCAAGAGGTAATTCATGCTCCATGGTTACAAATGATGACGAAATAATGGTCGTTAGGGCTCCAGTCAATGGTGCCTCCCCGCTGCGCCCCGAGAGCCGCGCAGGCAGAGAGCGCCATCTTCCGGACAGCTGCGGTAGCACCCCGCCGGGACTCGCTGTCAGGGCCCCCGGAGTCATCCATCATTTATGTAACACTCATAACGCAGGCCACAAAAGGCTCAGGTAGCACAAAACAGCGAGCTCTCAGCCAAACTCGCGCACTTTACCCAAAAGTATCCAAAAAAAGGGGGAAATTTTCACTTTTACGCCATATTATATGATTTTATTGTGGCTTAAGAAGCTGAGCAGACGCTGAGCCACTACCATTACTACTAAAACTACTAATGGCACCGCTACTGCTGATAATATTCGTACAAATAATAATAATAGACAACCAGAATTTCCAATATACATCAAAAAGCCTTTATTTCTATGTACAATTTCCTAAACAAAATATTGCACACAATATCCAGATGTGCATCGAAGACAATAAATAACATGTAACATCTGTACAAATTTCTTTCTTTTCTTCTTTTTTAATGGCACAAAACAAGCCTACAGACTATCACAGAGCGACCACAGCCACAGGATGTACAGTTAAAAGGACGAAAACTCCTCTTTTAATGTCAAAATAAAATCAACATTAAAACAAAGAAAGGAACTCAGTAGGCCTACACGATTATGAGGTAACAACATGAACCAAACACTAAAAATTATTTACATTTTGGCGGATTTTTTTTATTATTATTTGATTTTATTTGTTTTTGGGTTGTTTTTTTGTTTTGTTTTTTTTGCATAGTCCCCTAAATAAACGCACGAGCACACACAGGACAAACAGAGGAGGACCTGGTTTCTGATTTTTAACCTAATGCGGACACAGTCACTGTGCAGATACTGGAATAAACTCTACACGTCTCTAACATGTGATTTGGCAGCACTTTGTATCTACAAAGGAATAATACATTGTTTTTTTTTATGTCAGGAGTGTGCACATACACACACACATGCCTTTTATTTTATTTTATTTTAAGTGTCCTTTTAGCTCTTTTTCTCCGCCTGTTCCTCCTCCTCGGGCGTCTTTGAGGGGTTGAGGAGTTTGTTCTCCTTTTTCCACTTCATCCTGCGGTTCTGAAACCAGATTTTGATCTGTCTCTCCGTCAGGCACAGGGCGTGGGAGATCTCTATCCGGCGCCTCCTGGTCAGGTAGCGGTTAAAGTGGAACTCCTTCTCCAGCTCCAGAGTCTGGTAGCGGGTGTAGGTCTGTCGGCCCCTGCGGCCGCTGCTGCCAAACGGGCCTGCAATGAAAATGAAGTCATGTGTTAATAATTAAATGTTAAGTGTGGGAGGAAAACGCACTCACTGTGTGCAGTGATGCATCCAAATTAAATAATTAAGTAAATACAAATAAACAAAATAAAACCGTTCTGCGCAAAAGTCCGAAAAAAATCAAAATGTATGTTTTTATTTTATATTTTCTCCTTTCTGTAGGTGCAGATTTATCTTGTTTAAAAAAAATGTTCACATATATATGTGATATTACGATAGTAGTCCCATTATATCTCTTAAACTTCCCACATGGCGCCTGTTACAGTAAGCCTTTCAGAAAAGTGTCATTAGTACAGCGCAGTCTCTGTATAATAAATGATGCACTGGCTCTCTTGTGTCATCTAAAGCACGCATTGTGCACGTGCAGTCAGAGGCAGGCTTGTTTTCTCCTTTAATTTGCAGTGAAATTCATATTTTTTTGTTCGTGTTTGGGACGTTAAATTAAGTTTTTTAGCCAAAAGGCGCGTTAAAAAATCCAAAAAGGGGCCATGTGACGCGAGCTGGGAGCTCTTGGGTTGAAGCTCGGGTGGTGTAGGCCCACTGAGTTCGTGCGTGTGCGTGCGCGCAATGTAGTGAATGTGTGTGTGTGCGCGCGAGTATGCAGCCCGTGCCTGTGTTGTGCTGATGATGTAGTAGTAGCCAAAAGCCCCGAAGGCGCACGAATCTCCGTGTGCAATCGCCAAAAACACAAACTTCCCGCTCGGCTCTGTCTCCGCGCGCTGTGCTGCTCGCAATGATCTGAAAGGCTTTCCACACCTGGCAGGTAGCCTCTTCTAACGGCCGTGAGTACTCACCGGCGGAGCAGGCGTTCATCCTCTGCATCCACGGGTAGATCAGCGTGGACGACTTGTCGTCGATGCTGCTGCTCATGCTGACAGCTTGCTCCGGGCACTCCGCTTTGCGCTGCTGATGCTCCTGAGTGACAAACAGCGGCTGGTCCTCGCGGCTCGAGAAAGCGCACGAGCCCTCCGCGTCCTTGTAGAAAGTCCCGACCGGATTGTAGTCGCAGGGCGCTCCGCCGCCGGCCCGGCCGTAGATGGCCGCGGCCGCTGCGCCCGTCTGCTGGTAGTAAGACGCCGGGTAAACCTTCTCCTGCATGTTGGCTGCTCCATATGTGGCCGCGTTGGAGTAGTGTCTTAACGGATCGGTGTATCCCGAGGAATAAAGCGGTATCTGACCCAGGAGAGAGTCCTGTCCTCCCGGCAGAGACACGGGAAAAGTTGAGTTAACAAAATAGGAACTCATTGGGTGGACAACGGGGTGTATATACTCCGGAGGAATATGATTTGTTGTCTTTTATAGTCCAAGTGGTTTTGCCATTACTTTATCGGAGATTTGGTTTTTGCTGAAAGGGGGGGTTGTGAGGTGCCACTGAATACAGAGGGGAAGTGTACCATCTGATCAACCTCTGGCCAATCACCGCCGTCTGTGCTTGCACTATTGCACCCATGGGGGGCTCTTGTTGCGCGCAGGAGTCCCCGGTGAATCGAAATGAAGCGCTCGAGCTTGTCGCTCGCGCACACGCTCACACAGACGCGAAGACTCATAGAAATATATTTATACTTTTTTTAAAGCCTAAATATAACCCCTGTTTCATGCAATCCAGCCCCCTCTCTCCCACACTCTGTCACACACAAACACACGGTGCAAAAAAGCAAAACATTTACGCACAGCCTGAGTCTCGCTCAGCCTCTAACCTTCACTTCCATCTCCTTTAATAATTCACTAAAGCCAACAAAGTCTGGAATAAAACTCTTCTGCCAGTAAACCCTTTAAAACGAGCACCAACTGATCCACATGGACGCAAGAAACCTGCGTCAGTGATGCATATATTTCACTCTTCGAAGGTGAGACCTCATCCTGATTCAACCCTGACTGACTGAAGTCCACGAAGACGTGCAGAGAGCAGCGGGGAGGACACGCGCCGGCACTCAGGATCATCATAATCATCATCATCATCATCATCACGTTAACACACCATGATGAAGTGGACAACAATTTCACACTTAGAAAAAAAAACTGGTAAGTATGAAGGGTTGAAAGACGTCTCAGGTGCCTGGAGCCTGCTTTTCGTTTCTTTGTTTTCACCCATGAACTAATTTGTATTTAAGAGCAAACGAGGAGGGAAATTAAGGCGACTGTTATTAGTCTTCTGTGTTTTTCTTCTCTGTCCATCATTTAACTCGTATTGATTGATTGTTATAATTAATAAAATACAAATTTTGCTTCCATTCTGAAGCTAAGTCGCTTTTCGAAATGTAAAGTTTGCAGAATTTCGTTCAAAAAGGAAGGAAAATGCATTTATAATAAATTATTCTATTTCCTTCTGTTCAGTTAGTTTCCCTTTTAAAAAAAAAGCCAATAACTCTGAATAAAACCCAGAAAAAAAGCAGTTTTAAAAGTATTCTAACGTGAGTATAAAACACATAAATTGTATAAGAGCTTCATAGACGGAGGGAAAATAATAATAATCAGGAATGAATAATCCGCCTCTTGTCTTTGATTTTGCGCCCTTGGCCCACAGATTTTCTGTTTGCGTCATGTCTGCTTTGAAAACATTTTATATTTTAATATTTCGATCAGAATTGAGATGAAATCAAATCTTAATCTTTAGCTGGATTGGCGCCTCTCCGCCAGGCCGCAGTCCCTGCAGCCCGGTGCTGGACAGCTGCTGGACATTTGGAGAAACACTGACTAACAAAGAGGCAATCCCGTGTTTTCCCGTCACGTTATGGCCTCAGCCATAAACTCCCAGCATCAAAAAGGACGCAGAACACCCTGCAGAGGCGCCGGAAATAGAAAATAAATCGATAAAAGAGAAGAGCGGTGATTATTGACTCCGCGTTTTGTGCAAAATCAGGACGAGGATGCATCAGAGCGAATATTTGTTTAAAGCTACATCAAAAATGTGAGGGGGGGGAAAGCAGAAAGGCGAAAAGATACAACTAGGACACGGTGCGCAATATCAGCATAAATTGATTTCTTCAGAATAAAAGCACAAAAATGAATTACAATAATCCGAATAAATCAATCAGCAGAGTGAAAAACGTGTAGCCGGAGATCTTTTTGTTTTTTACCCCCAAGAAAAACATGACTCAGCTGTAGCACAGGCCCTTTACCATCACCATCATCATCATCAAAGTCAAGCTTGCCTGGCCTGAAGCCACCTGGTTATACAACACTAGTCGCCAGCAGGCCTCAGACTCGGCAAAAGAGTCTTTTTTCACCATTTTAGGGAAAATATTTGGCGTGTGAAGGAATTGCAGCACCTCAGGGGTTAAACAGAGAGTGCAGCAACTGGTTGTGAATAGCACAAACAGCGCAAGCGGAATAATAAAATGCTTTGGAGAGGGTAATTTCCCTTTCTTAAAGACAGATCTCCCCGTTTCCAGCTTTGTAAACATCAGGCCTGCAGTGACAGTGAAGCAGCAGCAGCAGCAGCACCAGCAGGAATATCAGAAACATGGTGCCCTTACCTTTGTTGATAATCCGTCATTTCCAGTGTGGGTGCCACTCCGCAGCAGCTCCTCTTCGCTTCCTGTCAGCCCCACAAAGAAAAAAAAATCCCCACTTTGCTTAAGTGATTTCATGAAAGTAATCCCACTATTCCAGGAGTGTGGTGATCCCTCATTTTCACGAACATAAAGCCACACAAGTACAGCCACATTAACGAGGCGCGCACGGCGCAGGAATTGCGCAGAGCCTCCATCGCCTACTTTTTGTTTTTTTTTTTTAGGGAGAGGGGGGGAATTACGCACGAAACCGCGAGCGGCTGTTCTTACCAACACTCCAAACGCTCACTGCACATGCAAAGAGCCCAGAAAAAGCTTGTGTTAGTAAGTGTTAAGTGAACGAGCGGTTGGAAAACAGCAGCTGCAATATAACCTCATGGGAAATAAGTTCCCATTCCTGCTGTCCACATGACCCCTCAGCAACCAATCCCCGAGCCAGGCGAGTCGTAAACTTCCAAGGCAAAGTTGTAAATTTTCATAAACAGCGGCCGTTTTTGTGCTTTGGACGCGCTTTCCTCACCGCCATCTTTATTTTCTCCCAAAGAATGAAATGTTTAAATTTTGCGTCAATATGGTAGAAACGGGTCAAGATGTGGAGGTGTGAGGGTGGTCTGCGGGGAAGGATGCGCTCTCGGTTCTGATCCATCTGGTTGGAGAAAGGTTTGTAGCTTCTTATTGATCTCTAACCACGGCAGTGGTCTTATTCGCGTACCCAAAAATTCAAATCGAATAACAGGAAGTGAATCTGGCTCCAGTCCTTCCTCCTGCATTTTGTCAAATGTGTCACTTTCAGGAAAAAATAATCATGTAATCTCCAAACCGCAGACGCGGGTGATTGAGTCTTCTTATTTTTCTAAAATAAAAAGGCTCCAGGCGTGAAGATTATTTGCATTAAGACTATTATAATCTCTCCAAATGTGGAGAAATTCCTCCAGATCAAATTGGCCAAAGATGGGAATGAGCTTAACTGCCATCCTGAGGCGGATTTTAAGGTCAGAAAAACTTGAAACAGCCCAACTTCAGAATGAAACTTTCCCTCGTTTGGGCCTTAAAAACGTATTCATCTTTTTTTTCTTGTTGTTTCTAATGAGTCATTTCCGATTTGATTTGTTGTTGTTTTTTTTAAAGTATTCTTTCAGTCGGTATTCTGGTGTTTTACACTGACAGAGAGGATTTCCGACATTTATAGACGCAATAAAACCATAAATTCCTGAAATACAAAACATTCTCCCCATCGCTTTCATTTTTCTCCCTCAAAGAGACGCAAAGTCCAATATAATAGCGCCTTTTCATTAAAATTTAGGCTAAGATTTAAACACAAAATGTTAAAACATATGAATTAACGTTTTCATTTCATTAAAGTCTAAAATAAAAAACAAAAAAAACAAACAAAAAAACCCAACACTTCCACAGGTACCGTCTTATTTAGGCCATAGTTTAATCCTTTATTGACTCCTAAATTTACCCCCCAGATTTTAATTTTTTTAAAAAGATAAATATAATTATAATTAATTAAATTCGTCTGTAAACCCCCGAGTTTCACAGGAGCTTGCAGAAAACAGCTCAGGCGCTTTATAATGCAAGTGGACTCGATACTAAATATTTATCAGTAATGAAAACACTTCCTCACATTTTAAAATAATATCGAATAATTTCTCAACGCATTTGATCTTTTTCTTTTTTTTTTAGTTTATTGGTACCTTGCTCTCAGCCAGCTACAAAGAAACCGGATCCAGAGAAGCTGTAAAACTTTATGGCCTCTTATCTGAAAGCCGTCGAGACGAAAGGAGGCAATCACCATCAAAAAGAAATTTAAAACTATTTAGAAAAAAATGTGTTAAAATGTAATCACAGAAAGAATATTTATTACTTTTAAAAAGTAGATTTTTTTAATCTTATTTTTTGCAGAAAGTGACAATAAAGACGATTAAACTAAATCACTTGAAAAAAAAGACATTTTATTGATCATCAGCGCAAATAAAGTTATTTTCAATACTTGACTGCACAAACATGAGAGCAGCTGGCTTTTATCCTTAATGTCCCCCAGTGTGAAGCTTTTCAAACTAAATTTAATATTAAATAATGAACCTTTAATAGTTTCAGTTTAGCTGAGCCAGTTTATGTTCATATAAATCAGTGAGTTTATTAGAATCACATTTTTTTCTTCCAGAGTAAAAGATTTCAATATCATGTTAACCCAGCATGCTTTTATTTTGGCACTCTGTTTGAAATAATTCATCCTCAGAGCAAAAATATTAAACATCTATCTCAGATTTATGCATCAGGTTAGATTTAATGGATAAATCTGAGTACAAAGAGTCAGTATTTAAAAAAAATACTGAGCTGGAGCTCATTCAGTGGCAGGCAGCTGGTTTGCAGGTATAAAAGCTATATACAAACATCCATGTTCATCAAAGGCATTGTGTATTTCTGAATTTTCTCTCTTCAAGGCTCTTTGTATTTCTCTGTGGAGCAGCTTCAGTGTGAGGTGAGAGCTGCAGGTCTGGACTCGGAGGGGCTTCGTGAGGTCGGCGGTCCCGCTGCCCTCACTGCCCTTTACCGTGCTGGGTCGCTCTGTGAGGGAAGCCAGGCCTCCGGAGCAGCGGGACGCACGTGGAGATGACGAGCAGGCTGCGCAGGGCGTCGGGGTCGTGGGACACGTCGTTGGTGCATCGAGGGCCTCCTTTGGAGATGCAGTTTATGGTCGGGATGCCGGGACGGGACCGGGCGTCGGTGTAGAAGCTGCTCAGAGAGTCGCTGACTGAAAACAGAAGAAAGAAGAAGTCTGAGACAAACACACACACACACACACACACACACACACACACACACACACACACACACACACTCTGAATAGTTAATATATAAGAAAAAAGAAAGAAATCTCTGTATAAATGCTATTACCATTTCCACAAGAGCCCATTGTGTTTTCTGATGTTTTAATTATGTGTGTGTGAAAATTATTGCAAATGAAATAATATCAACAGATTTTTTCCTAAACTAATAGCACAGCCTGATTATTTATTTATAAAAATGTTTTAAAAAAAAAAACCAAAATGGGACACAGTAAATAAATGTTTTAATATTTTCATGGTAATTTTAATGGTAGATGGTCATTTTATGTAGATTTAAACACTTCTCCCGTGTATTTTAATTTTTTATGCATTTTTGGTGATTAAAAAAAAATGTATTTCTACATTTTCTTCAAGTGATGTTCATGTTTCGGAAAACAGAAAACAGCAGGAGGGGAAAAGACATTAAATTCAGTATTATTTATACATCTCCAGTGTTACAGTCGTACCAAAGCCTCCTTAGTAAACAGGAAGCAGGAGCTGGAGAGAAAAGCCTGCAGAAGCTGGCTGTTAGGCTGAAAATGAACCAGCGTTACCTCTCTGTGGCTGACCTGAGATCTCAGTATGGTTACCTGGCCAGGACGCCTGCTGGGGGCTGACGATCCGGCGTATTTCTCCCGCTCTGCCGTGGCTCTTGGACTCGCCGTTCGGGCAGCTGCGGTGCACAGTGGGCCGGAGGAAACGCTGCTGAGTCATGACGGACCCGAGCTGCTGCGAACACAGCGATAAAACGATGCCGTTTAGATTCTGTGCCATAATGATTATTCAGCACAGTGAATTATCAGTCAGGGTTATGAACTGTTAACCCACTTCATTCATTCTCCTCTGATGATTATTTTTGGCTGTTTATATATTCAAACCGCTGCTGAACCGCTGACGCTGATGTGTTTTGGATTTCATCACTTTCAGAGGTAAAAACCATCAAATTTACAAACAACCTGAGCTTTGCATGCTGAGGAAAATGTTTCTTCAACTCAAAATCCAGAGCAAAGCCTGAATAACACTATGTGTTACAAACAGACATGCAAAGAATAACGGATTAAATCAACTTGTTGCTCAAAACAACATTAATTATCATGGATTTTAATCAACTATTAATTATTATAAGAGTAAAAATAAAACGTTTTCACTGGTTCAGGCTGTTCATAAATGATAATTTGCTGGGGGTTTTAATCATATATAATAATAAACTAAAAGTGTTCTTTTTAATATTTTAATACACTGAAAAATAAATTAATCTTTAAAATAAAAACTGAAAATAAGCAGTGAAAATAAGTGCTGTTGCAGTCCTGGTGAGGAATGAGAAGCTACAAAACAATCATAGAAAATGTTCTTTTTCCTTTAATTCTCTATTAAGACTGAGGAAGAAAGGCTGACCACCTATTAAAGTTGAAAGTTAAAGAGACAGGGCAGCTGACATGATTAATTTCTTAAGATTATGAGCACTGATTTAAAATAAAGAAAGAAGAGCAGTGGATTCATTTGGCTGGAGAGTACCTGCACAGGTATGTCCTGCTCTTTAGTCCTTTGACAAAAATGTGTCAGTGAATCCAACTGAAATAAAAAAGGATGATGGCAACTGTCAGTTAATAATACTCACAATAAATGAGAAATGGTTTATTTTGCATGGACTGGTGGTCAGGCCTTACCTTCCTGTGTTGCCTTTGATGATTTCTCTGCTGCTGGGAGCAGAAGTCGTTTGCTCCCCCTCCCTCTCTGTGGCCCTGCAGCAGCTGCTGGATCTGGCTCACCACCCCGAGGTCCTGCAATAGTTTTTGCCTCTGGTACAGCACGCCGAGCTGCTCGTGGTCGCCTATTAATACCACTTTTTTCTCCTCCTCCCTCTCTTCCACCACCTTCTCCTCCTCCTCCTCCTTATCCAGATGCTCCTGCTCCTCTTCTTGGACCTCTGCAGACTCCGGAGCTGCTGACAGGCCAGACACAGGAGGCTGGAGGGGAAAGAACATTTAAATCAAATAGTTTTTATTGCTAAGATGTATATGCAGGTTTTTAAAATATATGAGAATATCATTGGTTTGCTGTACTGAAAATAAAATCTGTTTATTTAAAACTGAATAAAATGATCAAGAATATTATTTAGATAATCTAAAGAATACTCTGACAGAAAGACCAGCCAGAGTCAAAGCCATTCATCACGGACTGAAGCTGTGTCTCCCTCTTGTGGTTACATTTGGGTACTGCATCTTCAAACACAGCCTCACCAATGCTGGGTCGCAGTTAGAAATGGGGGTCGGGGCTGATGGGGCCCTTCGTGGTTTGACTCCTTCCCCTGCAGTCTCCCCCTGCGAGTCTCTCCTCCGGCCTCTCCTTTGGTAGTGCTCATTCTGCTCCTGCTTCAGACGCAGCTCCTGCAGCTGTTGCCTAAAAGAATAAAAGCACACATTTCAGAACCACTTTGAGAATAATTTAAAGTATTTAAACAAATTAAATCACTTTTTTAGCTTTATTATGGTACTCTTGTTTTAGATGTTTGTTTTTTTTAAAAACCCACAGAGGACAAATATTGAGTGTAGAAAAAGAAACTCGGATCCTTCTGCAAGTCCATTAATCTTAATTTGAATAAATAAATAAAAACTTAAACTCCAGTGATCACTTCTGTAAAATAACCAGTTAAATCTGATAAATCTCATCCACATTTACTTATAATTGTATTATTATTAGTTTGTTTTCTTTTTCTTTTTTTAATGCAGAGAACAACTTATTTTGGTTTCCCGTCTTGTATTTTATTTTGAAACAGATTTTTGCCTGTTCACATTTTCCTGCTGTCTCCATGATGCACTCTGTTGTCTCTACATTTTAGTTTCCTCATCTTCCATTTTTATTTTGTTAAAAAATAAATAAATAAAAAGACAGAATGTTTGTTTTCAACTTTTAAATTAGTTTTTAGGTGGAATCAGCCATTAATGTTTTGCTTTATTTATATTTATATATATTGTGCATTTGGTTCCTTTTTATCATGAAATGCAGGAAACAGGAACTTAATTAACACAATCACAAGGGAGGAATAAAAATACAAAGCACAGATGACAAATGATGACTACCAAAATAAAACACCAAATAACAAAAGAACCAAACCACACACAGAGGTGAAAAACTCACATGGAGACACGGCTGGAATAGTAACCCAAAATCAGAATCAGAATCAGAATACTTTATTCATCCCGAGGGAAATTAGGGGTTACAGCAGGCAGCACGCTAATGGCGCATGCGCACTCACAAAGGAACCTTCTGACCAACTTTACACAAACATCACATTGGGCAGACATGTCAGAAGGTAGGCTGATAGGAAAAAAACAACGAAAATACACTACATGAGGTAAGAGGAGGAGAAAAAAAAAACTCCACTCAGACTGAGCTCCTAGTGGGAGAACAGTTTGATAAAAGAAAAAACACCTCAGCACAAAAGCACATGACTATCAATACACCATAGAAACACGAGACAAGCAACAGGGGCGGGTAAAGGGTAAGAGAGAGCCGGCGTAGACAGCGCATCCGGTCCTGCAGCATCTGTGCTGGTCCAGTTGACTGCTATCATCCCCGGTAGGGCACAAGCATCGAAGGCGTTGGAAAGGGAGGGGGATGAGTGAGTGCTTATCAGTGTAAGTGTGTGTGTGTGCGTGTCCATAGTTTAGCTGAGACAGTGTCCTTCGGCCTATCAGGCTAAGTAAACAGTCCTCCAGCCAATCCAGGTGTCCTTCATGGGGCGGGAAGAATAGTCATCACACAGTCGTTATCAGGGAGTTGTTTTGGTGGGCTCCAGCCTTGGGCCTGCAGCTGGGGCCGTGGTGTCCAAATGTTGAATATTGTTGATTTCTCCTTTGTGAGCAGCTCGAATTCTAGCACTCCGAGGCTGGTCTCTCGATCTCCCGTTGAAGAGCTGCGAGCCTCCCCATGATGGTATTAAACTTCTGTTCCGTGGTGTTGTCAGTCTTTTGATTCTGAGACCTCACAACTGCAGTGATCCGTTCCGCGATGTTTTCCAACTGTCGCTCAAGGGTCTCATTTTGAGCAGGCCTCTCTCTGATGTTTCCCCTCATACGCTCAATGGTGTTGTTTTGAGCCTTCACAGCAGCTGTAAGCGTCTCCAAGGTGTTGACCATATTACGTTCGTTGTGAGAGGTCGCACCTCGTCCCGTCGCTTCGAATCCAGCGGGCAGCCTTGTGGGGGTTTGAACAGCCGGTTCCGCTTTCTTATTTCTCTGATAAACCAGGGCTAAGCCAACGCCGATCAGCATGAACCCTGTTATCATGGTTCCGAATAGGTAGATATCTTCAGCGTCCTCGATCGACAGTCCCGCCAGGCACACGGTCCTCCAGTTCTCCACCCGTCCATCGTGTAACCGGCAGGGAAAGTCCCTCCAGGGCACTCAGGCTCTCCCGAGCCCCGACTTCTCGTTAAGGGTGTCAATAGCACTCAGAGACCAGTTGATCAAATCCATAATTCTCTTTTAGGTTTAGAGAACGACAGTGAGAGACTGTTCCAGGGAAAGTAAATTCACACAAGACAAGACAAGGACATAGAGACGAAGCAGGGAAGATAAGGGTGAGGAGGAGAGGAGAAAGTGCGACCGCCTTCGCTGAGAGCTCAAGAAATACAAAGAAAGCTGAAGGTGTATCTATCGTAGAGAGATAAATATGGGACTGAGCGTATTAACAAAAACAGAAACCAGAAAACTGCACTAAAAAGACCATGGCATTGCTGTACAAAAACAACTAAACTGTCATGAAGACAAGTGAAGACTGTTTTAGGAAATATCTGAGAAGTCTGCATGAAAGTGAGCACACAGCAGAGCAGATTTAAGCGTGTAGGTGGAAACAGGTGGTCTTCGATGTGACGATCACAGCAGAGAGCAGGATCGAACACGACGACAAACACTTGCCCTTTGAGAAATCATAGTTGTCCAGAATCTCTACTATTTGATCAAACTGCTATCTAAACTGTTGGCTAATCATAGTTAGTAGCAGGAAACGATGTGACACCCAGTTTTTCATGGCAGACACAGGGGCCTTTTAATTTAATAACGTGAGAATTACAGGCACATGCAGCGGAGTGTCATCAGTGTCTTAAAGGGAAATTTATTCCATGACTGCACATAATTTGGTGGCAGGATTACGCACTATTAAATTCTGTTTTATTAGGACAGGTTTAAATCCTTCAATTTGTTCAATTATTCCATAATGTTTGCACATATTAAATCACCCCGAGGCATGTCTGCATGTACAGCTGAGTGTGATCACACTACCGGCAAAGAAGCGACTGGCTACGTATCATTTCCAGGAGCGACAAATCAAAACTGAGATGGCCTCAACTTTTTTCTGCATCAGCCTTTCATGGATTATCTGTACGGGAGGTAAGAGACAGACCCAAACGCTCCTAAGACAGAGATGTGACCTAAGGAAGGAAGTGCTGAGGACAAAAATACAGAATACACACTAATGTAGAGCAGCGGCGAGGGATTCACAACGGAGTCGCCAGGGGGAACACATGGGATAAGGAGGACATGGCAAAGAACTGAGTAAAACTGAGGACTTACAGACAAACACAGATGAGGTAAAGAGAGAGGAAACATCTGGGGTAAAAAAGACACAGGTGAACAGAATCTAATAATGCAACAAAGGGAAACAAAACTTCACACAATGCACGTAAGACAAGGGACTAGAAAAATAAAAGAGGAAACCTAAAACTGAGACAAACACACAAAAAGATAAACACAAAGACACAACTGACTTCACAAAGCAGACACAAAAGGAGAAAAAAAAAAACACAGAGAAGAGACTTGGGGAACAAGAAGGGAACTTATACAACTAAACTAATTTATAAGTAAACAAAAAAAACAAGTAATACAATAGGGAACCAAAATTAATAGAAACTAGGACCCAATTGCATTAATGGTCTCAGAAAAAACTTTGAGCACTTTGTCATTACTTTCTCTAGCTGTCTTTCAATTTTGGTGCCATGACAACCTGTATGTAATAGATTGACTGATTTGTGTCTATATACAGAACACGAATATTTTCCACTTTTAAAAAGGCAAAATTAATCCACATTTGGAAGAACATATTTGCATTATTGATTCATATATCATTATTATTATTATTATTATTATTATTATTATTATCATCATCATCATCATCATCATCATCATCATCAATAAAAATGATTGGATTTAGAACAAGGTCATGATTTGAGGATCACAACCACCTGAACTGGCTTCCACAGATCCTGGAATCTGGAATATTTTAAGACCTATGTGAAACATCTACTAAGAAAACTGAAAACAATAATCGCATTTTTCTTTTACTAGTCTTCGTACTGTACTGTATTTTTGTACTGTAGTACAGTTTAGTCTGTGCTTAATTATTAGTGATACTACTTATGTGCATGTTTTTTCATCCACCTATCACAGTCTGCTGTTTTTATTTTATTTTTTTTAAATCACTGATGTCTTGTTCTTTAGTTCTACTTGCATTTAAATACACGACTTTCTAACAATAGCTGTATCTCATTACTCACACTGAACTCTGAAAACTTGGGTTTAAATACTTTGATGCAAGCTACAAAAATATATGAAGCTACATTCTTAAACGGTTATGTTTATGTAAATGCAGTCACATTTTTCTTAAAAAGGTCACCAGAGAACCACTTAGGGGCACATTTTAGTCTCATGTTATAAGATTTTCATTTGATTATTTAAAAATTCTTTAAATGAACTGCAATCATAGTACCGTATTTTTCGGACCATAAGGCGCACGGGATCTGTGCACTGTCGACAAACGGGTCCGTTTTCATACATAAGGCAAGCCGGATTATAAAGCGCATTAAACAAAACAAAACAGTCAGATAAGTCAAACATTACTCAACTAATTCCTCTTGCTTCTTCCACTTCCATACCATTGATTCATTAATGTTGAATTCTCTGGTAGCTGCTCTATAAACACTGGAACAACAGTATATGTTGTTCCAGTGTTTTTCTAATTTTTGCTATGTAATTTTGCACTGTCCACTTTCTGCTGTAACAAAACAAATTTTCCCATGTGTGGGACTAATAAAGGTTATCTTATTTTACATTAATGACTAACCTCATATTGTGGCTGGATTATCTCAGTTGTTCTCCCCTACTGAAATTTGGTATACAGCAATTTTCCAAGTGATTGCATTTGTCAAAACAAACAAACACCGGGAACTTATAGCAAGTGGAAAAAAGTTAGCATTCATTCTCCAGGTTCACTGTGTTATGCTTTGATATGCTAACATAGCTGTGTCGCTAGCGATCACTAGCACAGCATTATATACCAGCTAGTCCAACTTCAGTAACCCTACAAACGTCACTGCTGTTTAGTTTTCTGTTTTCATTCATGTTGGAAGTGATAGCAGAGCTGTACGTTTTATTTTTGCCCAGAAATCTCTCAGTCAGAACATGCTTGGTAACATGTTTAGGTAACTAGCGAGCTAACTTTCTGCTACCTTCCTGCTAACTTCTAACTCCGTTAAATTTAATAAATTCTGTTTTCATGGATGCCTGGATGTTAAACCTAATTGTTACACCTGGTAAAGCAGCGACACTGATCATTTTTATTAAAGATAAAATAATTTACACAGTGTTCGTTTGGGGCCTGACGCGACTGAGTTTTGGACCCAGATTACTATGAGTCGCAAGGCTCCTGACTACAGTACCCATAACGCTCAGACAATCCATCAGGCTTCATAGCTTAGCAAAGTCCTAAAACATTTTTTGACAGATTTTTGAGCGCCGTGTACCACATAAAATCGTTTCGAGGTCAGTAAACACAGCCAGAATTCATAGAGAAGGCCACCAGATTATAAGGTGCACTGCCGATTTTTGAGAAAATTCAAGGATTTTAAGTGTGCCTTAGTGCGGAAAATAGATAAATGAATTGCTATGCATTTTTTAGGCAACATTCCAAATAAAATATTTAAAATGTCGTCTATTCCTTTTCCTTCATTGGAAAATAAAAAATAAAAAAAAATAAATAAAAATCACAATTTATCTTTAATTTAGATTTTAGTAAGTAAGCACACTGCATATTTGAATATTTGTCCAGTGTTTTATTACCAATCAGCAAACACATTTGCAAAAATATTTAATATTTGTATTTAATGTAAGTGTTTTTATTTATCAGTCAAGCAATTTGTAAGATTACATCTTGAAATGTAAATTAAAATTCACAGAGCTCATAAAAATCTACCAGCAAAGAATTCAAAATCACAAAATATTAAACTTATTATGATTTGGATCTTCACATTACAAAAACTTGATCCAGATTCTTTTTGCATTTTTTAATGTAAATTATTAATAAAAATTTATCAGTTGTAAGGAGTAAATATCTTGTTATAATGATTGTAGCCTATATGCATCTATGCCTGTATATAACCTAATACCTCGTTACTGAGCGAGCCAGTCTGAACAAAAACTTTGCACGGACATCGTCACACATACAGTGATTAAAAAGATTTATGATAAATTCCAATTATTTATATTTTCCTATTTATTATGTTCATTTTATCATCCATCTTGCTAATCAGCTAAGTTTTTCTACCACTTGTCACAAGATGAGAAATTATTACCTCGCACAGGTTAAGCTAGAAATTTAAGTTTTTTGCGATCTTTGTGGTCTTTTTATGATAAATATTATTTTATAAAGTCTTCTCACTGTACTATCCCTTTAAATAACAGCAGAGATGTTAATTTAGTTCTCCTGCATAAATGTTAGAAGTGCTGTATGAATAAAAATTATTATTATTACCCAAGTGTCTGTATTTATATGGAAACTAGGCAGAATAATTCAGTTCTCCCTGCACTGGAGTGTTCCCTCTGCTTTCTTTTTTATTTTACTTATTTCTTTGTGTCTGTGTGGATGACTTCAGAAACGGTCTGTGCGTAACTCGCAGCACCTGCTCTTTGCTGAACTGTACTGAGTGTACTGACAGCACGCTGGAGGTACCTGGCACACTCCTCTCTGGCCTTTGATGCCGCCGTCTCGTGGAAGAGCGAGCTGCTGTGTTTAAAGTACTTGTCGTATTTCTCCCCTCCCTCTCTGGGATAAATCCTCTTGAAGCCTCCCAGGTGTTTGGCCTCGTACCTCTCCATCTGCTTCACCGTGGCTGCCTGGCACTGACGCAGCTCCTCTGACCTGCCGATAAAATACACACACGGAAACACTAACCTTCACTACAGATGTGTGGTGTGTGTGACCTTGGGAAAACTTCACACCATATCTGTTCACCGTACCTGGCCTCTCTGGAGCGGTGCTGCTGCAGCCTTTCCTTCACCTTGCGTCTCTCCTCTTTAGTAATCTTACGACGATCGCAAGCGCTCAGGTTGATGAGAACCAGAGTGTCGTACAGCAAAGCATCCTTCACCTCGCGGTCCAGCTGGGAGTCAGTGGTAAAACTTGGGGAGTGATTCACCTGGACATAAATATATTCAGACACACACACACACACACACACACACAGGTCTGAACAAATTTGGCTGAATTCAAGCTAACTTAATCCATTCACCAATTCATGTTTACCCAACTTTTTTGTAATTCAAGATCTATAAGATTTATAAAGGGCACAATGCAAATGTCGACCTCACACCCAGTTGTTGTTTCAAAAATACAAACATACCCTAACTTTTATTTTTTCTTTAATTACAGAATTTGACTGTTATTATTTGTTTGGGATCAGATGTGTTTGTGTCATTTATACGTGTCCCGGCATTCATCTGGCTCTTATCTTGGTAAAGAACTACCTTCAGAAGACCAAAGGGAATGTTATTGACTGGCCTGGAAAAAAGCCTTGAATCACATTGAAAATCTGTGAAGTGAACTTAAGACCAAGGTCTGTCCCCAGAAGACAAACAAATCTCAAGAAGCTTGGGAGAGAGACCATTGAAGAATGGGCTGGGATTAAAGCTGGGATTAATAGCCTTTATTTAAAAATAAATAAAGGCTATTTTGTCAAAAGACAGACTTTTAAAGAAAATAATATGAGTAGTAAAAAACCCAAAAGCATCCCAATAGACTACTTGAGAGACTGTATTGATTTGTGGATTAAAACATGTCCATGAATCAGGCTACCAAAGACCCAAAGACAACAAATTAATGGTATATTTGGTACAACACATGCAGAATATTTCCATTAGGCTTATATTTTAGTTAATGGAATAAAGCTTCAGTAAAGACCTGGAGATAGCTGACAGAGAAAATAGACCATAATGTTTTTCTAACCTTTCAGTCAAGAATCATACGGCTTTCCAGAACATGAGAAAGTGAGGCTGAATGAGTAACAATCACATATATGCTTGTTTTACAGTATTGTGTAACTGGTCTGTCACCTCCAACACCCAGGGTTTGAGCCGGTGATCCAACAGTACATCGAAGCCTAGGATCTCAAAGCATGCGCTGCCGGTGGTGTGGTTGGGGAAACACGTTTGGTAGTTATGCTTGAGTATGGGATGGGCCGAGATCAGAGTCTTTATGATCACGTCCTCGATGTCGCTCCACATCTTCTCTGTGCTGTAGTTCATGGACTCCAGGAGCTTGTTCAGGGCGGACAGCTTTCTGAACGGAACAACAATGAACACGGATTCTTTAAAGAGCGTTGGCGATGTACCGCATCATGCACCATCTTCAGTGAGAGCAGTATTCACCGTTTGCTCCCAGAATCCTCATCACGGACAAAATTCTCGCTGTGCTTGTTGATGGAATAGTTGGTGAGATGCATACACACGTCATCCTAATGTTAGAGAGACTAGTTACTATTTATTTAAGTAATTAAACTCACAGGAACACGTATACAACAATCAATAAAATCAAAATCAAATAAAATAAGATACAAAATATAAAAAAAACAAAAACAAACAGATAAACTGACCATTTTAACTATTCTGCCAAATTCCTATCACTAACTTGGGGCTTTTATTCTGAAAATTCTCCATAGATTTACTTCCAGAGATATATGCAGAGTTAACTGGACCTAAATAAGTGTGTCTCTATAAGTCAGCCCAGGCACCGGTCAGTCTTACAACAGTTCTTACCACATTGCTGAGCATTGGTTCGCTGTACTTTGTGGTGCAGAAGCGAGCCAGGCCCTCCTTGAACATGAAAATGCTGAATGGGTCACATGACGTCACGAGCACATAGACACGCAGGTCAAACTTGTACCCATCAATGATGAAAGGCTGAAGAGGTCATTTATAAAGAACAGAAAAAGCATCATACACTGTGCATTTTGTTGCAGGTGTTTTATGCGTTGCACCCGTTTGCTCACCCTGGAGATGTAAACCTGGCAGATCATATGTTCTCCAGGTTTGATGTCTTTACTGGATTTGGTGATGAAGATGCCTTTGCCTTGACAACCGGTGTCAGGCTTACAGATATACGTCTTGTGTTTTTTGGCCCTGGTGTAAGCATGGAAGTCGCTGTAACTGCAGTGAGATAGAGAGGATGAACACAGATGAGTGAACCTATTATCTTTTTAATTCCTAAATATTAACAACATTGTTTTAGGGGGGGGGGGAAACCTCACAGATCTAACGTCACGCACTGGATGAGAAAGAATTATATTAATACTGAAGGTTACATAAGAGGTGTTTGAAAAGGTTTAGTGATCCTTTTTAAAATACGTGGAAGATTTAGAGCCAGAATAATAATTAAAAAAACAAAACTCCTGTTTCTGTTTTTGTTTGTTTTGTTGAATTTGTGCACTAGAGGGTTTTTTGTCTTTCTTATTTTTATTTTGTAGTTTTCAAAAATGTGGTAGATAGATTTTGGGAGGAAATAAAACAGAGTGGAAAGTGCAGACTGACTCTGCAGGAAGGCACCATGTTCTGGGGAAGATGTTGTAATCTTTGGGAAAGAGCTTCAGCATGCGGTTCATGTTTCTGGCCAGAGAATCCTTGCGGCAGATCTCGCTCATCCCCGGGAAATGGTTTATTTTCTGCAAAGACAGGTTTACACGGCATTACAGGACAGTCGCCTACAATATATATTAAACAATCAGTCACCAATTTAAAATCACAAGCACTGATCATGGAGTGTTCTGCTTGGAATTTCAGGTCCTGGCATTTATGTTGCTGTTGCTTTCAGACATATTGCTCAGAAATATCAAGAGGAACATGGCAAAGAGCCCACATCTGTGATCTAGACTTCAAATTCCCCCGATCCCAACTGAGCAACAGAAGAACACACCTAACAGTGTAGCAGATGCAGTAGATGTAGCTCCAGAGCCTGAATAGTGAACCCTGTGCAGAAGTGCCTTAAACCTGCATTATTTCTAACAGCCAGCAGGGAGTGATGACTCGCACTGCAAACAGCTCAAGATGAACAGAAGTCTATGAGAAGACAGTCCTTGGCCTCATCGCTCTTTTTGGGATGGGTTTAAACAAGTGAAAGGTTTCCCAAACGGAGACGCAAAACCCAACCAGGAAGAAAAAATAAATAAATAAAAGAAATCTAGAAAATCAAACATGCAGAGTGACCTACTGCGGTGACCCCCTGTAAATAGAGGAACAACCCAAAGTAGCTCGTAGATGTCCATGGCTTTTTGTAACATCTGGTTTAAAAACACCACGCTGTTGATGGTAAAAACACTCAGCTCAAGACTTCACTAAACACTGGGTGATATCACAGTAGTTAGTTACATCTTTTAAACAAGTCTGATACACAGAGCTCCCACCCCACAACCGCTACCAAAGTCCCAGTGCTAGACACCAGCGCACAACTCCAGTGGTGTAATATCCATGCTGCAACAGGCCAGAAGTGTTTTGACAACACAAGAGAAACCTAAATAATATTAATGTAGGCTAGCTAATGTATGATAGATAGATAGGATCTCGAACAAATCTACTTTAATAAATTACTCATGGTCAAAGAGAGTCAGGCTGACTGCATCGAATTACCCAGTATGATGGCAAATTGAAAGCATGGACTGAAAAAGGACATGTACATCATCATTTCATTGGTAAAGATATTTAGAAAAATGTCATAGTTTGAAGAAACTGATCAATTTTCCGCTTCACAAATACAATCACACATTTAATCAATAAATAATCAAATGAAGCATCAATAATCTTTTCTGATGATGGCAGTGATGGAGGTGTTAGGTTAGTTAGGTGCATTGATTACCTGGTAACGCTTCATGTCCTTAACACGGTCTAGAGACACTGAGCAGTCGGTCCAGAACAGCGTCCAATCTTCACCGTCCATCGCCTCTCTGAGGCCGTATCTACGAGCAGCTCGCCACACTGTGACAAATCAAGCATTTAGCATCTTAACAGCGCTCCATCTGTTTCCCACAGGCAACCAGAGGCCCCTCTCTGCTTGTACAGTGTTTTAAAGTGTATTGTAAAAAAAAAGAAGCTGTTTTTTTTTAAAATTAAATACATAGAGTGAGACAAACTTTATAAAAATTACCGTTATTATTTAGATGTTGTTGTTTTGTTTTTTTGTTTTTATTCCTGGCAGTTTTAAAAGTAGGACTGGATTATTGGTGGTATTTTACTGTGCAGTTATTAGATGCTTTATCTGTTACTGAACCTTTTTGTTTTGTATTGTGTGAATTTGATGTGTTTTACAAAGTCTGTTAAGTAATCATGTGAATATTTCACATTTGGGATTTTATACATTTATTTTATATCGAGCCTTGTGTGACCCCTCAGTTAATCAACTTCCTGAAACCTTTTAGCCATGATTGTTCTGATTGGCTGCCCCTCGTAAATAGCAGATTTGAAGTTTCCCTGCTCACGCTGAGAGGAGGAATATAAAATATGAAACTGAGTGTTTAGAGCTGTCTGAAACATTAAACACTAAACACTCAATGATGAAATCAGGGTGAGCTTTTAGTGCATTGTGACTTCATTATTTGAAACTTGCCCACGCTCAATATGATCATACATCTCTATAATACTGTATATATGATGAAAATAAGGATTTACAGCAGAGATCCAAATGGAAAAAGCACTGTCCACATGCTTTTATCTATTTGACATCTGTAGTATTTGTATTCAGCCTTGTCTAGCTAGAAACAACTTAAAATTGGACATATATGATTTAGTGATCTCTAGCAGACGTACCACTTTCATATTTGCAGTTGGTGAGGTTGATCCACAGTCATCTGAAAGACAAGAGAGACAGAAAGAGGGACAGACATCTGCTGTGCTGCACAGTGCCTCGTTTTGCTCTCCTGAACAATGAGGATAAGTGAGAAAAGAGACCTTAAGAGCCTCCAGGACGAGTTATAGAATCATAACTGACAGGGTGCTTGGCAGTTAATATACCTGCAAAGGGAGATAACAGCAAAAGTACAACCCCAGAAGTAGTTGATGCTGTGTAAAATGTAAATGAAAACAGAGTGCAATGATATGCAAATCTCATAAATACATATTTTATTCACAATAGAACACTGAAAACATATCAAACGTGTTATATCTATTCCAAACACTCTCAACAGAAATAAATGACAAACAGTTCAGTAAATGGGAGAAATTATTATTGTGCTACAGTTGGCAAGGGAAAAACCCAGAATAAGATTTCAAACTCTTATACTGGCAAAGAGCAAGGGAGAGCTTACATTACTGTGATTAAAAGATTATTATACTCTGGCACAATTAGGGGCTCTATTTTGCTGTTGCAACTCAAATTACAAAGTAAGATGGAAGGAAATCTAAGAGCACATTTCTGGGGATATTCTAATTCAAGCACAGCTGGGTGATTACAAAAAGGGATCCAGAATTAAATGGACATAGGTAGCATATGGATTAATCCCATTCATGGATGATACGGTGAACTGTGTTCACAGACAGTGTTTTCTGGAAGTGTCCCTGAGCCTGTGTAGTCTGTGTATTTCAATGACAAAACCATGCCTGTTTTTAAGGCCGTGCCACCTGAGGGCTCAAAGATCACACAGGCATCTAATGTTGATTTTGACCGTAACAATATCCTGATATCTGTATCACAATTTATAATCACGCTTTTTTGAGGTGAGCCTCTCTCTACAGCCCCATCATGTTAACAACTTGTTGCTAATTAAGCTAATTACTTGTAAAATGTTTCTTTTTGGCATCAAATACTTATATTGAGTTCACGTGACATCCTTCTAAATTACTCCACACTCAAAACTGTTAGCATCCTAGGTTTTTAGGTGATGTGTTTTATGTTTTTTGGTTTATTTTTGGATTTTTTCTTGTTCCATGGCATGTTGTCTTTATAGTTTAATGTTGCTTTCCTTGTACTTCCAAGTTTTGCTATTTATATTTCCGGTCCTTAGTTCTGTATCAGTGTTAGTTTCACTCTTGTGTCACCCTTGTTCTGTATCTGTGAGTAGTCAGTCTTTGGCTCTGTATTTGTTTGCCTTTGGTCTGTGTCCAGTTTCATGTCAAGGTCATAGTGTGTATCTGTTTATCTTCTTTGTTTAGTTTGTAATATTGGGTTATCTTCATCTGTGATCTCTCTCTGTGCTCTGTGGTTGTCTGTTCTCTCAGATTAGTCTTGTGTCCTCTTTCAGTCATGTCTCTGTGTTCTGTTACTCTGTTCCTGTGTCAAGTTTGTGCGTCTTGTCTGGGCCTCATGTCTTATTTTTGATAGTCCCTTTTCTCATGTGTCTCTCATCAGTTAGATTCTCTTCACCCGGGTTGCCCAGGTGTTTCCTCTCTGCCCTGATTCCTTCCTGTGCATATATTGTCCATATAATTAATTTCTGTGTAGTCTGAGTTTTGGTATTTTTGTATTAAAAGCTGTTTTGAGTGCAGTCCTGCCTCTGAGTCTGCACCCTGCAGCTACACATTAACACATGACAAAAATAAGGAAATTAACATTTAACTTCAGTTACCAAGTTGACATTTCTTAATTATTACTTTTCTCATCTTAAAAACTCATAGGTTCACGATCAACCCATGTAAGGTTGGAAGTGCAATTTGAATAATGGACACACTCTTTTGAAAGAATTTTGTCTGGTTGGAGGAGCCAAAGCAGCCAATTTTACAGAATAGTGAGTTACACCCACTTAACAAAACTTTGAAAAGAATTAACCCAACATTTCAAAGGTATCATTTTATGATCTGTATACATATTAGATTAATTTTTAATTTATAGTTTCTCTCTTTTGTTTTAATTATAGTCAATAAATTCAATAAATATTTTAATTCTGGAAAGATTACCAATTTAAGAATATATTTGAGCCTTTTGTTGCCCCTTACCAACTTTTTTGAGACATGTTGCTGCCATCAAATTCAGAAAGCGCTAATATTTTTATAAAAAAAATGGCACATTTTCTCAGTTCATGTTCTTTTGTGAATAAAATACAGGTTTATGATCTTTGCAAAACATTGCATTTTGCTTGCATTCACATTTTATACAGCGTTCAAACTTTTTCAGAATTGCCATCGTATGGACGAGCTCTTGCAGTAAAGTACCTCTTCTTGCTTTTCCTTCTCTGCTTGTTGACGGGTTGCGGAATGCATTTGTAAGATTCAGTTTGGCTTTCGCTCTCCTCTCCCTCACCCCGCTGCTCACATTTATGTGTGTCGGTGTTTCTTTCTGGGCTGTCCAGAGGTAGACCCATCCTGAATGAGAAACATGTGCTCAGCTGACCTGCAAGGCATGCCAAAAACTTCATGAAATTGTGACACAAACAGAAAAATGATCAATTTTCCAACACTCATATCTCTCATTCTGAATGGTATGTGCCATACAGCCACACAATGAAATTCAATCAAATAGAACAAACTACATGCTGTAAGTGCACGCATGGAATCATGTTTCTGTTTCCATCTCTCTCATCAGGTGAGTGCTCTGGCTGTCAGCGTGCTGTCACAGGCCGGCATTCAAGGGTTATTGTGGCAGTACAGATACAGGGAGTGGGTAATACTACAGCCACAGTGACGGGGAAATGATCCTAATACCAAGCAGAAGTGCTAAAGTGTGACACTTTTTTACTTTTACTGCTTTTTATAACGTAAATTAAAAATACACATAAGTGGTGTAAGGAAGCAATACATGGACACCAGTGAAAATATCTCAGTCTATTCATTCTTCAGATGTTGTCTTTTAGTAGTATCCCTTCCCCATTTTCCCTGTTGAAGTGACAGATTTATCTTTTTATATTATACAGTTTATCTCCTCAACAACATCCTGCCTTCGACTGGGAGTAGAAAGGCAGCACAAAGCACCATTCGCTGTCTCGATCACCCTGATCATCAAGTTTTTTGACAGGAAACTGTCGAGCCTAAAAGCACTTTTACTAAATGACCACACTGAAATGATCACCAATACACTCTTCCAGATAAACATCACACAAGTTATTTGTAATTTTATATAAGTAGCAGGTATCACTGCAAGTATAAGCAGAGAGACATGGCACTCAGAGAATCCTGAACTGAGATATATGGGGGAAATTTAATAAAAGCAAAGAGGCTGCATAGAAACATAACTTTTAGAGGAAAATTATTTACTACTACTACTACTAATTAAAAGCAATCAGCAAACATTTTGAATGTTTTTTCATTATATCTAAAATAACAATAAAAAAGATAATAATAATAATAATAATAATAATAATAATAATAATAATAATTTACTTTATTCCTGCAGTACATTTAAAGGGGTTTACAACTTGCTTTGAAGGAAGCGGAAAGCAGGATAGTTTAGACTTAACCAGACAGCCAAATGTCAATTCACATATATTAAAAAAAACAAACAAACTACAAAACATAAAGATTAAAAATATAAGACTAAAATCAGACAATCAGAGGTGATTTAAACTTACTGACTCTGAAAAGCTTATCTCTTCAAGGAAGAGTGTTCTGACGCATCCTGATAGCAAAAGGATTGTCGTTTTTATGACTTTAATCACAATTTTGAAACAGTCAGGAGGAGTACACACTGTTGATAACCTCTTATCTCTGACTTGTTTTTGTCAAGAAAGCCAATGAAAAGAAAGCCTTACTATGTTGAACTTGGTTCATAGTACACACCTCTGTTGTCTATAATTAGTCCTCAGTATACAATATACGATTCATTTAGCGTGGATAATTCTATCCTATTAGTGTGGCTTTGTGTGAAATACACAAAGACAATGTACAGGTCTTAACTCGGGTTATTTACGTGTTCTTCTGTAAACATCTTTCTGCATTCTGACCTAAACTGAGTCACTGTCACAGCAACGTCTCAGCCGTTCGCCTCTGACTCTTGTCTGGTGTCTTACAGGGTCAAGGTGAGTTCAAGTGAACTCCTGGTAATGATCGTGACAGAATACTGCAGGTTGGTGGCATTAAAAAGGGACACCACAGGTACACACAGTGGGAGGTTACGGTGCCAGGTAACAGCACTCGGATCCAATGATCTGGATAATCCTGACCCTGAACTGTGAGCTTTACACTGGCTTGAAACACCCCACTGACCTCAGCCCAGATTCAGTTACAGCCCCGTGAAGGATTTCTCCAAGGCTCTCCTTCAGTGTTCAACAACAGCAGGTACATAAGTAGCACCTTTGTGCCCCCAATCCTCAGCAAACAATGGCATGCTCCAGTAAAGTGAGACTTTAACTGGTAATTATCACTACACAACATCAGACTAAATGTCAGACTAAACTTTGACATGCAACGCTAACACTTACTAAAACTATGCAGCACTAAGCACATTGTTTAGAGGGGATACACTGTATTGTCTAAAACTTGACACTGGTGTAATGCAATGCAAATGAGAAAAAGTATACATAGAAAAAAAAACATACATACAACTTCATATGGATTTTTTCACATATACACATGCACCAGGCTGCAAAACCCTTTCTCAATTGTATCAAGTTGTTTAAATAAAGTAAATTCAATTCAGTTCAATTAATTAAAAATGCAAAATTAAGTCTATATCATTTGCACAAGCTAATAAATCCAAGTCTACAAACTGCTAACAGTTCAAAAAGATTCAAAGAGGAACTCTGTCACTTGACTGATTTCGGTGGTGAATGGTAACTCAAACTAACCCAGTTTAATTCAGCAGTATTGGGATAATTCACGTGTGCATCCATCCAGCCATCCATCCATTTTCAGACACTTTGACACTTATCCAGGTCATGAGGGCAGCAGACTGAACAAAGACCCAGACCTGCCTCTCCTTAGCCACCTCCTCCAGCTCTCCTGAGGGGATACCAAGTAATCCCCTGGCCAGCTGAGAGACATAATCTCTCCACTATGTCGTGTGTCGACCCAGACCTTGACTGACCAGTAAGTCGACAGCTTTGCTTTCACGTTCTGACTTTTCTCTATCACATAAGATCAGTACATTATCTGTATTACTGCAAATGTGTCATTCCATCTGTCAGCTTCCTGCTTTCATCTCCTCTCGCTTGTGAACGAAACCCTGAGATACTTAAACTCCTCTACTGGAAGCATAAACTCCTTCTAGCCCTGTAGTGGACACTCCATCCTGTTAGCACATGGAGGTGTTAATTCTCATCCCAGCCAATTCATAAACCACCCCAGCACAAGCTGCAGGTTGTTGCTCTATGAAACCAACAGAACATCGTTGTATAAAACCCCAAGACCCTCCAACCTTTGGCTGCACCTATTCTATCCTAAAATTATGAACAGAATTGTTGAAAAAGGGAAGCCCTGGTGAAGTCCAACATCTACAGTAATGAGTCTGATTTATTTAATCCAAACCAAGCTCTTACTGTGGTGGAACAGGGGTTGAATACCTCATGAAAACTACAACCCACAAAGAGGCATGTGGTCGAATGTCTTTTCCTACAAAACTCACATAGATGGGTTGGGCAAACTCTTATGTGCCCTCAGACAGCCCTGAGAGGAGATAGGGCTGGGACAAAACTGCAATCGTGAATCCAAGGATTGTCCAAGGGACATATGATTCTGTCCGTCACCCTGACATAGACCTGAAGCCTTGAGAGTGGCAATCTACCGCCCCAGTTTGCCTTTCCTGATTATGATTGGACATATCTTGACACAATCTGCTGAGTTTTTGTCATTTCTAAGGTGAAGTTTGTGGTTCTGTTGAATGACAACTAATATTTGGGCTTTTAGCACTCAAAACCTGTTGCATTTGACTGTTTTCAGTTCTATGCTAGTGTATCTGATAAACTGACAGCTCAATAGTGTCTCATCATCCTTTGATAAAGTTCTTACTTACCTGCACTGGTGAAGTCATCGATATTAGAGGGTGTTGCTCCCCCTTTGTCCACACCTCTTTGAATCACGGATCTCAGCTTCAAGAGCTTCTTAAGACACTGCCACACTCCTCAACAAGCAAACAGGTGAGCCACATCTCTGTACCTCTGGAGCCTTAAAAAAAAGCAGATTTGTATCATCAGCTCAGATTGACTTACTTAGTTTGACTCAAGCAGTGGATCTGGTGACCAATTAGAAACAGTGGGGACAAAAAATAAAAAACCCAATCCCTCCTGAAAAGATTGAGAGATCTTAGTGGGGAGCAAGTGGAGAGGTATAATCCCTGACATTTGTTCGGTGAAATAGGAGAAGTGCTTTTCAACGCCTCGACTTGTTAAATTTAAATCTGTGCTGAAAAGAGCTGCAGCAGTGTGTGGTGTAAGTGAACAGGCTGGACATCGATCTTCCTGGCCAAGCTGAAACGAAGCACCTTCAGCCGGAGCATGAAGACAGAAGAGAAGATGTAGGCCAAACATTTGGCAAAGAAGAATAAAAAGTAGAAACACGACACTGTACCTTGCTACTGAACATGTCTTAATTAGACATAACGGGCCTGGACAATAATGATGAGGTGACAGAGTAGCACAAAATCTGGTGAGGCTACAAGCTGGCACTGATCAGACGCCTTGATTAATCAGTCAATCAACATTAATTAATAATCAGCTGACATCTTACTCCCTTCCACACTCACTTATCTATGTCCTGCCTTTGTTATGATGCTTTAAAGATCTACTGCTAAGCTTCAAGCGACTGAACTGACGAGTCGTGACTGCACATGCTGTTCAAGGTATTTAACTGATATGTGTGTGAGCCTCATGGGAAATTATAGTTTAATGCAGGGGTGACGAGCTGCTTGTTTGTTTGTTTGCCACATGGAACCAATTTTAGTGGATCAATAAAACCAAAGAAATACATATACATAAATTATGGCCCATACATTTACAATACAAAAAGGATAAAGAGTTTTTCCATATTCAGTCAGCCTGCTGTTATCACAATGAAAAGCTTTAGGGCGATTCCTTATCAGAAACATATTACTTCAGTTTGTCAGTAAAAGGGCCTGCAAAACTAGCAATAACCCACACAATGTTCAGTAAAAACCAATGTCCATCCACTGGGCTGGATTTGACCTATGTATTAAATGAGAGTAAGAGTCTCTGGAACAATCTGAAAATCAAATCAAAAAAGCCAGTCACTTCTTTCTAAGTTCCATCTTTTATTCCCTAAACAATTTCTGTACATTTTTCATACAGCTGATTAGTCCTCAAACTGTTTCCCCACAATGCTTGCTGTAGTATGCTGCTCCTGTAAAGCACTTTTGTAATGTGGCTTTGATAAGGACTATATATATTTTGACCAAGTACACGCCAAACTCTTTATTGTAACTTTTAGTCAGTTCCTGTTCTCTTTGAAGCTATTTATGTTTATTTTGCACTTCCTTTTAGGCTGTCTAATCTTGTTGTGGTTTCTTTTTTAGTTATAATTAAATTTTAGTCGTTTGTGTTAATTTTGCATCTTCTTTAGCTTCTTTTTGCAGATACAGATATTTTTGTTTTGCTTCATTACATCAAATGTAACTATTTTGATTCCTTCAATTACCATTTAAATGCTGCACTGCCACTGGCAAATGTCACCTAGATTATACTTGTAGCAAAGAAGCGTGGATCGGGCACAGTAACGTTTAGAAAGTATTTTTTGAAGGTTAGCATGAAACAAAGGGCGCAAATTATTATTATTATTTTTTTTTTCAAAAGTAAAAAGTATTCAAAAGAAAATGCATTGGTGGACATTTTCTTTAAGGTACAGTATTGTATGTTATCAAGTTTATTCTCTAATTTAAGCTACCCACGGTGTTGAGGTGCTAACTTGAAATGTGAAGATAAGCTCACGCAGAAAGGAGGCACAGACTTACAGAGCTTCTCTTTTCGGAGCCATCCTCAAGCCATTTTTAAGCAAAAACGTCTCTAAATTTAAATTTCAGTGATAGGTTGCGAGTGTTTCTCCCAGTGCAGTAAAAAACAAAAACAAAAGAAGTTTATCTGTGCTTTTAAAATCAAGCAAACGTCTAGCAAAGAAAACTGACCGCACAGCTTGACGCTAGACGTGTTGTTTCTATGGGAACAGAACGCCGACCTCTCCCCAGCTCGGTCAGCTTTAAAAAGCTTTAAAAAGGAAACAAAATGTGAATTTACCGATGGATGTGGTATCCTCTTGTTATCGGTGAGTAACACTAAACGAGCAGCCTTCCGTATTGTTAATGTTGCTGGCGTGTCGTGCTCTTGGTCTTGGCTGGGAGGATCGAGGAGCCCTATAACCTACAAATGTAAACATGAATGAAGTCGAGAAGAAGACGAAAACCCTGTTAAGACTTTTAGCCAATCACAAGTCGGGGTGTGAGAGTTCTCGTTTCTGATTGGTTGTTTGTTTCACCGATGAGGAAAACTGCATCAACAGGTGCACCACGTATCCCATGCGTGAAATACTGGGAATCTTTGTTTTGCTTTCTTTTGTTGTTGTTTTTATTGCAGAACTCAGAGAAAAGTTTTCAGTCACAATACATAATAGAAGATTTTCGGTATATTCCTAATCGTTTTAGGTATTCAAAGCGAATAAATTGTTTTTTAAAAAGAGATGTGCAAAAAAGGATTTTGAAGGAGATGTTATTTTGTAAAAGACAGACATTTCAGTGTGGCAAAAGCTAAAAAGAAAACCCACTGAATTCTTAAAAAAAAGTATGACAAGAGCTAGTAAAAAATGTTGGGAGTCTTGCAGGTTTTAAAGTCATAACTACAGAAAAAGAGCCTGGCTCCCTCTTGTGTTTCCATCTCTAGTTGTAAGCAAAGTGTTAAAATTGGACTACATTTCCCAAGATGCAGCCATCATTAGAATGCCTTCACAGATAATCTGAAACAAGAGGTCCAAGCCTTTGTGCATACTGACTATAAGTTATATGTCTTACTGTTTCGGTAGTTTTGTATTTTGAATTTTATTGCATTCTGCCCGTAGTTTTTATTCATCTTAACTTGCAACCTTATAAAAGAATAACTTATTTATATTTATACATACATACATACACACACAGTTTGACACACTTATGCAGCTTTCTTGTAATTTCTTTAAGGAGTCTTCAGGAATATTTTTCGAGATGTCTTGAAGGACATTCAACGCTCTTCTTTGGATGTTGGCTGCCTTTAGCTCTGTTCTCTGTTGGAATGATCACACACTGCTTCAATAATGCTGAGGTCCGGGCGCCATGAATCATGGAGGCCAGTCCATGAGTGATGGTGTTCCACTCTGTGATTTTTTTTTTTTTTTTTTTTTTCATTCCTTGTATGGTCTTACTGCATTGGCTGTGTGTTTGGGACCATTGACATGCTGAAAAATAAAACTATTGCCAATCAGACACTTTCCAGATGGTATTGTATGGTGAGTCAAAATCTGACCTTGTTTCTTTGCATTCATAATTCCAACAATGATGACAAAATCCCAACACCACCGCCAAACCATGACAGAGCATCCACTGTGTATTACAAATGGTTGTGTCCATTAATTTCAAGTTCAGATTCATCAGACCTGTCAACACTGAATTTCAGTCCAGCTCTGGTGTAATTTGGCATGCCTCTGCCCTTCCTCCCACTTTCCCTTTATTAAGCACGACTTCTTGACAGCCATCCTTACACTGAGACCATTTCTGATGAGGATTCGGTAAATAGTAGATGAATCAACTGAAAGGTCAGAAAGATCTTTTTTGTGTAGACCTGCTATGTCTCCTTTACCCTCCACTTTTCCACGTTCCTCAAATTAAGGGACATAGAGAAAACTACAATAAGATATGCATCTTGTCGATGCACAAGTACTATTTTACACCTGTTAAACTGTGTTATCTTTGGTATTTTTCATAGCTCACACTAAAGAAATATCAAGAAATTATGTGTTTCTGCGATGGTAACAAAGTGCCTAAAGATACAGTTTAAAATTGGTTCTTTGCTCAGTTTTCTGTTATGTGTAGACAACATGGTTTCATCACTTCAGCTACATGCTTCTTTCAAGCTTGAATGAGTTATAGGTCAGTGTTAAGTGGGTTAATAAACAAAACATTCCTCTAAATGAGGAATGATCAAGTACGAGGACTGGACTAAAATCGGGGCAAAAGCATCCAATTTGAACGACCTTCAGAAAGCCTGGAGGAGGTACAAATTACAAAATATGAAAAACTGAAGGGAAGGGTTAAAACAATGTTTAAAATGTATTGTTTAAATAAATGTTGGTTTTTTTTAAAGCACTATTCAGGTTCTCAGGACTACACAAATATAACATAATCATTCATATCTGACATCTGCAAAGAGCTTTAAAAGTTTTTCTGAGTTTCCCCCCCAGGCATGAGGTTTTAAAAGATTGTTTTCAGCTCTTACGTGACATGCCCGAAAAAAGCCCCTTCTGCGTCACTGAGGTTTGTAACGTTTACGTGCATGCAAAACAAATATCCGACGAGCATGTGAAGGCAGCACTCAGCTGGTAGTTCCCTGAGCAGCAGACGTCGGAGCGAGGTACTGACAGAAAATATGTGAGTTTCATGTGTTTAGCCGAACATCTGACTGCGATTTTAGGATTATTAGAAGAGTTTCTGTTGTAGTTTTTATCTTGTATGCGTGGAAGACGTCGGTTAAGTCCAGGGTGCGGTCTTTTAGGCTGTTTTGCTTTCGATTTCTTCTTCTTTCTTTTTTTTAATGATCTATCGTGAGTTTACGGCCTTCAAAAGTTTATAAAACACATTTGAGGTCATCGGCTGACAAGGGGGATGTCTTAAAAATAGCATTTAAGTCATTTTAGTTGTAGGAAAGTTGATTTTCAGATGGTTTTTGGAGCGTAAGCAGTCAAAGAATAGAACAATGGTAAGTGCGCAAAAGCAAATAAGCAACAACATCAGGAGGAGGCCTGTAACACCGCTGCTGCTTTCTGTCCTGACACCGAGAGCTTGCTGTACCTGTTCTCATCTGTCAGCGTCCTGAAATGTTTCGTCATCGACCTTTATATGTTTTCTGGCAGAGTGCATCTCAGCATGGAGAGCAACACTGCTACAGAGGTAGCAGACCACTTGGCGCGCACCTTCTCCCAGGTGGTGTTCATCGACATCCCTCAGTCATACCCACCGTCCACCCACGTCACCTGCAGCTACACCCTCACTGCGGCCTTCCAGCCCAACCCTAGGGACTGGGTGGGCATCTTTAAGGTGGGTTGGATCAATTAAATCCTCAACTTTTTTTTTTATAAATGTTAAATCAAAGAATGTCCTTCTTAAGCTTTTCTACCCTTTTCCAGGTGGGGTGGACCACAACAAAGGATTATCATACCTTTGTGTGGGTGGAACCATGTATAGATGTAGTTGGGGAACAGACAGTGACAAGGCAAGCTTTCTTTAAGGGTAAGAAATGCTTTCACTTCTGTTTCCAGGTGAATGTGTTTGGCTGTGTTTGTAGTGTACACCCTAGTTGTGTCTTAAATGCAAACAGTTTAGGATTAAATCTGTTTTTCCTGAGCTGCTGTGTCAATGATCTGCACAGACAGATATGATTATATCCAGGTTTCACCCACAGAATCCTATTTTTCTTTTTGTTTTTTGTCCAGTTAAAATGGCAGAAGCTCAAACAATCCATCACTGGTTTTTCAGATTTACAATAAAGTATCCACATATTTTATGACTCAAAGAGGTGAAAGTACCCCATGTTTTGCACACAAGAAAGTCAATATGTTATATAACCAAAATCTAAGCTTTTAGAGAGCCTTATTTTCATAATAATGAAACTTTTCTTGATATTAGATTTTTTTTGAACTTGTCAATCAGAAACCATTTTTAGCCAATTTTACAAGAACATGTAAAAACAAATCTATCATTCTGGCATCTTCAGGGTTTTTGTGTGTTCAGTTTATTGGGGGAGTTTAAAATGTAATATGGATCTGTTTACATTTTTTAGCATTTTATTGATTGAGAAACAAAATAATAAACGTTTCAAAGAGCAGTGAGAGTTTTTGAGTCATCATGACATCAAGATCTCGTTATCCGTTTCCTTCAGATTACTACCTGCCCAAAGATGAGATCGAGTTCTACCAGTTCTGCTACGTCGACAGCACCGGTCAGGTACGAGGAGCCAGCACTCCTTTCTGTTTCAGAAGCCCTGCGGAGCAAAGCCTGGAGATCAGCCCAGACGACGACCTGCTGGTTATCACAACACAGGTAAGTGATTTAAACCTGACATAAAGGAAGCGGCAGGGTAGCCAGGATAATGTAGTGAGGAGTGATGTGGTGTTGAACAAGCTGGAGATAGGTTTCGAGACTCTGATTAGAGGGTATTACAGCAGATGACGACAAGGAAAAAGATGCATAAATTGTGCAATATTTTTCACTTGGTGAAAGCATGGCAACGTCACCTTGTTGATATGTATGTCAAAGCAAAGCTCAGAGTTACAGATCACACCCAGATGGTGGGCGGAGCTTGATGTTGAAGGGCCTGTTTTAATTTCCTAGCTGCAGGTCAGGTATGTAAGGCCAAATAAAAGAGGTTTACAGCCTCAGAGGTTCACAAGTGCTATTCCAAATCTTTGTGAATCCATCTGCTGTGGGAAATAACAAAGCTAAAAGTACCTATATTTGGAGTAACTAAGCTGTAGGAAGTTTTCTGACATCCAGAAATGAAGCTGCAAGACAAAAAAACAGGACCACCTTAAAACATCTTAAAATATGGAGCTCAGTTTTGTGACTGTACAGCAAATAAAGACGCCTCATATGCCACGTTAATGAATCAAAAATTTAAAACGGCATGAAAAAAAGAAAGCCTTTTGCCCACATACACTCGCCACCTTTCAAATTACTTCTTCAAGCTTCAAAGCGCCTTCATAGCCTCACAAATGTAAAAGACTCATCTGGAACGCCGTCACACTGACAAAATCCAGCCACAGACGCCCAACGTGCAGTATGAACGCGTCAGAAGTATTTAAACCAGTTCTGTGGCATTTTCTGCTGCAGTAGGTGCTTTGTTATGATGATGCATACACAGACTCAAAGTGAAAGCATTACAAGCTTTGCTGTCTAAGCTGGTAAAAACAAGTTATACATTCTAATAACAAAGCCTTTAAAAAGACTTACGGCCCTAGCAGGGTCTCTTCCTGACATTGTCCTGGAGTGGGTGTGGTCTCTCGCCCCCCTGCCTAGGTGCCGTCCGTTTGGTACAGCTGACTCCCATCAGCAGTTAGAGGTACTTAAGGCCAGGGATAGGTGAGCTCTAGGCCAGAACCAAGCCAGGTAACTATAGACCGATAGCTTTACCATCACATATATGTAAAGT